TTACGTAATGTTCGTTACGTAATAGAGAAACGACGTTTTTCCCTATTTTTTTTCAGTTTTTCGTGAATATCTCGACAACCCCTCTAGATAATATCATTATCGATCACTCGTATGAAAGCTGAATGTCTCACCTTTCCAACGAGCCTACTGACATCTTCGTGCTGTCGTTGAGTCGCCTGCTATGAGCTGAAGAAATTGGAAAAAAAGTGAATTGAATTTGCACAAAAACTAGATTTTTGTAAATAACTCGAAAAGTAATAAAGTTTTTTATGATTTTATTGTACAATCAATAGATTATGCAATGGAAACGATTTGTTGTTAGTTGGTGTTATGTCAACTGTGACAGAACATGCTGAACATTGTTAGCGTCGCTCCAATTATAAATGTTTACGCAATTGCTGACAGGGTTTGGAGATTGTAATTTCAACAAAACGATACTGAACCAATTCCATCATAATTTTTCGTGCATTTTTGCTTATTTCTTCCACTATTCAGGATTTAGTTTTATGTAATAAGTAAACTCACTAATTATCGTAAAGAAAGGAAATGTTGGGAAGGATAAAGAATCGAGGTTTTAATTTTTTTTCAATTAAAACGCATCCAATTTGTATCACTTATATTGGTTTTAACATGTACTTTTTATACACTAAACATAAAAATATTTGCTTCCTTAGAAAAAGTAATATATACAATACACAATGTAGTTTGTTATCTAATATATTTATATTTTTATATATTTATATATAAAAAAAGAAAGAAAGAAAGAAAGAAAAAGAAGAAAATAAAACGAGAGGAAAAATAATAATAATAATAATAAACGAATGAAATGTAATGAAATTGGGGGAAGGGAAATGAAAACTATAATTGACCTCGTGTTTGCAAATTTGAAAAAGAAAACAAAAAATAAAAGAGACAAAAATGTTGAGAGAATTGACGGTTTTGCATCAATCAATTTTTGCATCTACGCACATATATATATATAGATTTTTGTTGATGACACCTGCACAGTTTATTTACATCGTTATTTAAAAAAAGAAAAGGGTATTTTGGTATTATTATTATTAATAAATCACAGTTTCTAATATTTATTATTTATATATATATAAATACATAAATTCATATTTATATATATATGTATGCTGGCCTTACTGTATATACATAAAACATCAATTGATATACTTCTTTTGTTTTGTTTTGTTTTTTTTTTGTCCATTTCATTATTTCATCTTTTTTTTTTACTTCTCCTTCTTCACTTATTCACTTACGTACCGTTACAGTAAACCTAGTAGTTAAACGCTAAAGTAGATTTACATTCTAAAAACTTATTACATTTACATTTTCCAATTACTTGCCTTCTTTCTTCTCTTGTTTCGTGTACGCACTCTCTCTCTCTCTCAAAAACAAATAAAAACATTCGAAAATTCCTCTTCAATGTCATCAACGAATCGAAGGGCGTTTTGCTCGTTATTAGATTTTTGTTTTCTTCGTTTGGTTCGAATTTAAGGGAAAAAAAAAACAAAACATTTATAATGGGGGAGGGGTTGGGGTGCTTAGATAAAATTCATGGCCGATTCGATCAATAAACAAAGGGGATGTTCTAAATGGGGGGCAAAATTTTGAAACAAAAAAAATCAAACGAAAGTCTGTCCGTGTTAAAAACTAAACGAATTAAATGAAAACCGAAATACGTTTTTTTTCTTTCTTCTTCGTCGTCAGCATGAAATTAAAGTAATTTCTCTGGATCCGTGTAAATTGAATAGTAAATTGACGTGTGTCTTGCGGCTGTTTGGTTTTCGTCTTTACTGTTTCTTTCCTTTGTTGTCGGATGAGGTGGTGATGGAGGGAATGCTGCTACCGTCGTTCTGGGCCAAGGCGTAGTTGAAGGGGAGACGGGCGTACTGCATCATCAGCCTGTCGTTTGGAATCATGGGGAAGAGAGGCGAAGAGGCTGATGCTGCTGCTGCTGCGGCCGCTGCAGCCGATCCGGGGTTCGGGGGCGTCCCACTTCCGTACATACTTTGGATGGCCTGCATGTACATGGGGTTGATGGCGTACGGGCCGATCTTGTTCGCCTGCTGCTGGTTGGGGTAGTGCGAAAAGATCGGTGCTTGGTTGCTGGGTATAAATTTGGGGACGACGTTTTGCGCCGCTGCAGTCGTCTTCTCGGCCGCCTTCGGCGCTCTGATGTACGTCATCTGCTTGTTCTTGCCGTAATGCTGCTTGCGACCGTTCTCCTCGCTGCGGCCGTACTTGTGTGGAATACCGTGGTCTACGGTAGAGGCGGATCGTCTCTTGGAGGTCGTCGGTAAAAGCGGAGCAGGCGGATAGAAATTGGGGTGCATGAACATCAGTTGTGGTTGTTGCTGCTGCTGCTGTTGCTGCTGCTGCTGGACATGTTGGTGCGGGGTGGTCGTCATCTTGACCTGAGGTTTTGTCACCAAGGTGATCTCCAGATTGGAATTGATCCGGCGGCCTTCGAGCAGCGGCAGCGCGGGCGTATTGAAAATGTTTTTGCTGGTGGCGCTGCTGCTACTGCTGCTGCTCGAAGTGCTTGTGTTGGTGGGCAGCTTCGGCGACGGCACCGGCGACACTCGCATTATTTCCACGACCGGTTTCTGCGGACTGCGCACCGTCAGATCGAGCAGATCGGTGACGGGTGTTTTACTGGCAAACTTGGGCGTCTGCACTTGATGGCCGAAGAGGTCTTTGGGATCGCCGTACACCGTCCTCTGCGACGGGGCGTAAATCGACTTGGACTGGACGACGCGCGGCGGTTGCGTCGGTCCGTTGAATGGATACATCTGCGGGTACTGCACGTGTTTGGGGATGATCTGCGCGGGCGGCAGCTTTTTGCTGAGGCTCGTCTGCGGCGGCGGCATCAGCAGATGGTTGTCTTGGATGACGGAAGGTCTCGTCGCGGTGTCTTTGGCGGCCGGCGCCAAGTAGCTCCGCACCGGAGTTACTTCCAATCCACCCTCCTTCAGTATATCCAGTTTACCTTTCTTGTCGTCAAACACGACCGCCGTTTGACTCGCGCTGTTGCTATTATTGTTATTATTATTACTGTTGATGTTGTTATTGTTGTTGCTTTTGCTGCTGTAGACTTCGTCGTCCAGATCAATGATTTCCGGCGTCTTCGGTCTGTATGGCACCTCGATGAGATCGTCGTCGTCGCTCTGCGAATCCCTCGCATTGAACAGAGGTATGTTCTCTTTTCCTTCAGCCGGGGACGTCGACTTTTCCGGCGTGATCTTCTGCACCGGAGCCACGGCCCCCGTCACCGGCTCCGGATTCTTCTCAGGCATATGCTTCTTCTCACCATCCACCAAGTCTGTCTTCATTTCACGCGACCTGTCCGACTTTACGCGAACACTTCGCAGCGAAGATGAATACGAACACGACGGTTTCATGGCATCAAATTTGAACTGCTGCAAACAATAAACAAATAATTTAATATATAAATAGAATGTTATGTTGAAAGAAGATGAAGCAGCAAATAACCAACCTTATCACTTGAGGTGGATGGTATTGCGGTGGAGCAGCTCGGGATTGCGGGGTGAGGCGCCGCGCATCCCGATGTGCCCTCGCTCGTTTCCGCATCACTGGCACTATTATTACCCGTCTTATTCTTCAATTTCCTCCTCTCGGAAACTGTAACTGGTTTGTATTCCTCACCCTTGCAGTGCCTCTCGTACGCCAGAAGAAACCTGCAAAAGAACAAATTCCAAATCAGCAAGTTATCCAATAACAACACAATTGATAAGTAATCGTGATGATATTAAGCGTACCTTTCGTAATGTCTTCGTATGACCGTCGCGGCGCTCGTGCTCGAATGGTTTCCGCTCAAGTCATCGAATATCGACTTCCAAAGCCGATTGGCCGTCACGGAATCGTAGCCCCCCAGTTTTTGCACTTTGTTGTAAAATAAATGTAAGTCCACTGGAAGCAAGCAAGAAGAAAATGAAACGTGAGACGTTAGTAATTAAGAGTTGCCGTCGGATGACCGGACTCACGTTCTTTGTAGCCTAAAGATGGAATTCGTCCCATGGGAGTTCGGATACTCTTCAAGAAGGTCGATAGTTTCCTAATAAAGTCTTTGTTCTCGGTGTTCTCCATGGAACGGGTGCTGCGTCTCGGCGACGATGTCCGCTCGCATCGCAGACCGTTGCGTGTAACTTCAGTCGAAATTTTGTTCTGCCAAACATATATACATATACATTAAAATACAATTGCTGAGATGATGATGATGATGAAGTTTTGTTACCTTTGCGGAATTGAAAGCGGCCGAGACGGAGGACTCCGATTCGTTGCTCTCCGAGCCCGGGGAGATGCTGCGCTTTTTCCGCTTCCCACGCGGACGGCCTTTCAATTTCGGGGCTAGATGATTGCAGAGGAGCTCGTGTCCCTCCAGCTCGGGGTAGTCGAAGGTGTCCTTGCAGAAGAGGACGCGAGTGTTGTCCGATCGCACGCGAATTCCGCCCCAAGCGTGAATGATCTTGTGCCGTACCAACTCATTGTCGATGCCCTCCAACCGTTTCATCAACGCCCGATACCGGCAGTACCGAGGATAGCTCAGTATCACAACGGATGTGCCTTTGCGGATCCCCTTATTATCTGTAACAAACAATCAACAACATTACAGATACACACACAAAATATAACACTACAATTTATATATTACAGACAACAAAATTGAAATTACCATTTCTACTTTATCTTTTTCGTACTCTTAAACTTTTAATTTCTTGCCTTACGACTGACATTATCACAGATTAATTAAAGTATGCATACATTTATATTAAAATTTGTTAATTGTTAATATTGAATATTGTTAAAGTTAATCATCGCCAAGTTTAGGTGACCTTAGAATTGAATAGAAAATAAATCTTATCAGTCGACAACAGCGACAACTTCCTATGACCGGAGTAATTAAACGTTCCGCGAAATGTTTCATGACACACAAAACACACACACAAAGGTTTACACAAGAACGAATACGACGTTAAACTTAAATTACATCTCGTAATCTCTCCGTAAACTTCAGCAGAAGGATTATTTCTTTACTAAAAAAAAACTCAATTGTATCGAAATACACTGACTGCCTGGCACGATTCCAACGACAACCGCATAATACACATATTCTTCATTTTCAAACAATAAAAACTAATAAAAAAATAATACTGTAAACTAAATAAAAAAAAAAGAAAAACATTCAGTTATTTCATTGTGCGGAAAACTGCGGAATTTCCCACTCGCTCGCGTTTCCCTCGCATTATGCAACAAGACAACAAGACTCTTGAGATTCGTTCAAAATGAAATAAGCAAACAGGAAAAAGAAAAACAAAAAATGTGAAATATGTGATGGACAAATGTAATAAAAGATCCGTACGAAATTTAATCTACGCAATAAAGAGCGTTAACGAGACGAAAAATAAGTTTTTTTTTTCGAATCCTGTTATATGAAATTCGCACCGAATCACCCACCACCGCTGCTGCATTTCAGCATCGATGAAGAAGATATCTTCCGAGGAAATGCGGGTCACTAACCAGGTCAGCGACGCTTTCTACACGAATTTCTGTTTGTCCTATCGTCGTTTATTTGCAACACAGGTTTTGTTTTTTTTTTCTTTCTTTGTTTGTTTCTTTGTTTGTTAGCGACGATCCCCAAAAACAATTTCACTGCACGCATATTTATTTACACGATAACAAACAAACAAACAAACAAAACAAAAAAAAAACACCCGTATTAAATAGAGTGAAACATGTAATAGATGTTGTAATTGCGCATACATAAAGAAATCGTCACCAATTCGAGTTATCGTAGAAATAAACAAAATATTACAATTCGCGTGCGAAGGTGGCTATTGTTTAATTAGGGTAATCCTCATTCAAAGACAACTTGATTAATTCCATTCACCTTCTTTTTCATTGCTATACCTTGATTGGATGTCTCCAAAACAAAAATAAAATAAGTGCGAATCAAACAAATCTTGACTAACTACCGATTTCTTAAGACTAAACTTATTGATGATGTAAAGTTTGAAGCGTGCCATGGAATGATGAATGGTCGTAACCATAGTGCAAGTAAAAACAAATTAAACATCCGCAGCTGCGTACATCGTGATTACGAGCGAATCGCATAATCTTTGTTTAAATAAAAGCAGAAAATACGTACAATAAAAGAAACAAACAATAACAGAATTTATTTATTTAATCGCGAGATGCAATGAATCATTTTTTTATTTGCAGCCGAAGAAAACGCGAACGAAAAGAATCAATCTTTCCTTAGATCAAAGCTTTCAGTTGTTCTAAGACATCTTCAAACTCGATGAATCAAATCAGAACACAATATAGAAACGAAAGATTACAATTCGCGTGCGAAGGTGGCAATTGTTTGATTAGGGTAATCCTCATTCAAAGACAACTTGATTAACTCCATTCACCTTCTTTTTCATTGCTATACCTTGATTGCACGTCTCCAAAACAAAAATAAAATAAGTGCGAATCAAATAAATCTTGACTAACTACCAATTTCTCAAGACTAAACTTATTGATGATGTAAAGTTTGAAGCGTGCCATGGAATGATGAATGGTCGTAACCATAGTGCAAGTAAAAACAAATTACACATCCGCAGCTGCGTACATCGTGATTACGAGCGAATCGCGTATAATCTTTGTTTAAATAAGAGCAGAAAATACATACAATAAAAGAAACAAACAATAACAGAATGTATTTATTTAATCGCGAGATGCAATGAATCGTTTTTTTATTTGCAGCCGAAGAAAACGCGAACGAAAAGAATCAATCTTTCCTTAGATCAAAGCTTTCAGTTGTTCTAAGACATCTTCAAACTCGATGAATCAAATCAAAACACAATATAGAGACGAAAGATTACAATTCGCGTGCGAAGGTGGCAATTGTTTAATTAGGGTAATCCTCATTCAAAGACAACTTGATTAACTCCATTCACCTTCTTTTTCATTGCTATACCTTGATTGGATGTCTCCAAAACAAAAATAAAATAAGTGTAAATCAGATAAATCTTGGCTAAATGCGATTTGTTTAAGACTAATATCTGATTCATTGATGATGTAAAGTTTGAAGCGTGCCATGGAATAATGAATGGTCGTAACCATAGTGCAAGTAAAAACAAATTACACAGCTGCGTAATCTTTGTTTAAATAGAAGCAGAAAACCCCAATGTGTGTGGCCTCCGTTAATCTCGTACAACAGAAACAAACAATAACAGAATTTATTTATTTAATCACGAGTTTGCGATGAATCATTTTTTATTTGCAGCCGAAGAAAACGCGAACGAAACCGCAGAACGTAAAGAATCGATCCTTCCTCAGATCAAAACTTTCAGTTGTTCTAGGCGATGGTCAAAGCCATCTTAAAACTCTATGAATCAAATCGAAACACGATATAGAAACGTCGGCTAAAATACAAACGGAACGATAAGAACACGATTAGTTGCCTAAATTGTTTACACACATCACCGTGTGATTGTCACGGCAATAACAATAATAAAACAAAAGTAAGCCACCGCGCGCTGTGATCCACTTCGAATACGGGTTACTGGATAACCGCCGTGCTCTACCTATAAAAGCTCTTCCGAACTGGATGAGGACCGCAGACCTTGCTGAGAGATCCTCCAACAACGACCACGGCGACTCCAGAGTGCGAAACATATCCAATTATTAAGGTAAACATATAAACTTGTTAACAATTTAACGAACCGTTAAATTGCAATTGATTATTTTTTAACAATTAGTAAATTAATGGTTTAGTTTAATATTTAATCCGATTTAGTGCGTACAAATAGAACACACCTAAAAGATTAGATTAGATTACCATTGTTTACATTACTTATTAGTGATATAACTGAATCGATTAATCTAATCAAGAAAAACAAACTTAATTTAGTACTTAAAACAATTAATTCTAAATGAAAAGAAATATGAAAATTATATAACTGTTCTCGTCGGAGAGAATCGCTCAAGTTCGTGCGTGAAACAAAAAGAGAAAGAGCGAGAAAGTGGCGGCGCGCAAACGAAAGCTACAACATACTCAGCAAAAGTAATATCATTGTAATTGCAGCCGGCGACGAAAAAACAAAACACATCAACATGTCGTTCAAATTGTGCTTGATCGCGTTGGCCGCCGTCATGGTCGTCGCAGTTTACGGCGCCGCGACGCCTTTGACATCGGAGGAATCCAACGAATCCAATGAATCCAAGGAAACCACTCTGGCCTTCAAGAGCCGACCGGAGCAGAATTGTCAATGCATGCCGTTCAGATACTGCGACGGAGTGATCAACAGCGAGTGAGCATCCCCATTTAAACTTCTCTCCCCAGAAAGTAAATAAATCACTTGTTACTTGCAGCGTCCAGTGTCATCCGAGTTACTCGCACGGCTGCTGCGTAAGACCGGAACCGGAACCGATACCCACGTACGTACCGGAAAGCGAAAAGAACGAGATCGACGATTTCATCGAAGTGGTCAGGATCTAAGTGTAAACTTCGATTTTCCTCTATTTATTATTTAATTGTTCAATTATAAATATATATATATTTAATAACGAAAAACACGCACATGAAAATATGATCCTAGTCTCATTTTTAGTTTTATTTTTAAACGAAATGTTTGTTTTTTGATGCGTAGGTGTTGCTAGCTGCGATTTTGTTTGAAGTCTAAGTAAGTAATCATGACTTACTTGGAATTTAATAAATTAAGCTTTAAAATAAAGACGTTTTATTTTATTCTATTGTTTCCTTTTCAATCCCCGTTAATTATCACGTATTTTTGCTGCCAACAGAAATGGCAACGATTTGCAAAGTTTGCGAGAGAAAAAAAATATAAAACGAATCGAGCAAGCGAGCCATGGAAACTTAGTCCAATTACCTGCATCTGAAATCGGTGACCGGTGCACAAAACTTAATCGAGTTGGAGCAATTTAGTAAAGACGAAGATGAAGAAAACTGAAGTTGTTCAGTTTTCAATTTGTTGAGAAATTTAGCAAATTTCTACGTTATTATTAATAGTTTTTTTTTTGTTTTGTTTCTAGTGCGTGATTTTCGCAAACGAACAATAGAAAGTTGACGCAAGACGGAAGGAAACGCGTCACACAAATTCAACGAAAGTCAATTATTCTTAGTTTCTGTTTTTGTTTTTTTTTTCGTTTGTTTATGTAATCAAAGCACGTTTAATAGCTTACTTCGATTATTTATATAAATCGTCAACTTATATATCCACTATTTACTTAACGCAAATTTCCTATTTAGTTTAAATCAGTGATTCCCAAAGTGGTCTATATGGACCCCCAGGGGTCTATGACAACCTGCCAGGGGTCTACGTCAGCGAAAAAAAATTTGGGGGTCCATGAAATGAAAATGGGGGTCCACGATAGTGATCTCAACCGGTAATCGAAATCCCGACAATCAAAATCCCGACATTCGAAATCCCGACGTTCGAA